CTGGGAATGATAGAAAAACTAATGGACATAGAAATAATTAATGAAACCTCAAGTTTCAGCACTGGAAATGCCAAATTTCAGCTCTGTTTCTGTTAAGAAACAGACTGTGTCCATGAACTTGCATTTAGAGGCTTATAGGGCCTGTTGATTTATAAGTCAAGTGTTAATTGTTAAAGTCTTAAAAACTTCAAGGTCTTCATTTGAAGAGAGATGAATTTATAGAGGGAAAGGAGACAACCACACCAGAAGCCTCTTGCACATGTTGACCCCTTCCAGTCATTGACTACTGTGAGTGGTCGCCTTTGTTTCGATTTTCAAGTCAACTCTACATTTCTGGTAAACCACAAGGTAAAGGCTGGTCTCTGAGAAGCAGATGTTTTGCTGGTTTTGAGGCCTTGTGGCTTTCCATAGAGAAGTAACAGTACAGGCCACATGAAGCTTTTACTTCCTCTTTTTTTAAAGTGGGGCCGAGGGTGCTTTGCTCTTGATAGCACTGTATTTGATATACATTGACAGCTGTGGTGGGTTTGTATTCACCACCAGATGTCAAGTTCATATTTCTGGAAGTAATTAGTTTGAGATACCTGTAAGACGTTCAAGTTGAGTGTTCCCAGTGGACTTGGACCATGGATTGATTTAGTTTTAGAAATACCAGTGAGAATTGCGATGGATATTTAGAGCCAGAGGAACAGTGGAGATCATATGGGGAGAGGGTGTAGCGAGCAGAAAGCCCTAGGACAAAGCTTTGGGGAGACGTCAGCATTTACAGGTTGAGTAGAGAATTAGGCCAAGTGGTACGAGCAAAACTAGGAGAGTTTGGCGTCTCGGAGTCAAGAAGTCAGCTCTGTTAGGAGAGTTCAGAATGAACCTTTCGACTTTCAGCAGTGCTTTTCCACTGTGACCACCCTAGTATAGGCCCTCGTTATCTCATGGTTGGTCTCCCTTGTCCAGGTGTGGTGACTCACACCTGCAATCTCAACACTTTGGGAGGCCAAATCGGGAGGATTGCTTGAGGCCAGGAGTTTGAGACCAGCCTGGGCAATATAGCAAGACCTCATTTTTAATAAATAAATAAAATTTTTAAAAGGGGACAGAAAATGTGCTGAGCATTAACTGCCTAGTGCTATATGGAGGCACTAGGTATAAGATGTAGTTCTTTTCAGAGTTCATGGACTTTCTGGGTAAACAGGCCTTATACAAATAAATAAAACAAATGAGAGAGTAACTGGACATTTGGTTTCACTTGGGAGTAGGAGAGATTTTGAGGCTTGGGTTTGAGGTAAACTTAGAGGTACCTTACCCACACTCTGGAGTTGAGACAGAGGCCCCAGTTTGGGCCAGTTGGCATTATTGGATGTCTGGCTGGAAAGGTGGGCAGGGCCTGGAGGGTCTTGAATTCAGGGCTAAGGACAGTAAACACTGTCCTGCAGAGACCACCATGCTGTTCTTAGGTAGAGGCTGGGGCCAGAAAAGGGTGGGACTCAGGATGAAATCTATAGTTTTGAAGAATTCCTTGGCAGAGGCTTCTAAATGGCTGGATGGGGCAGATGGTTAATAGACTAGTTATTAGGAGAGAGAGAGAAAGGTCTGGCCTGGGACTGCCACTAGCATGGGCAGGAAAGTAGGGCATTGAAAGACCCTTCTTAGGAAGAATATTGAGGACTTGGATGATTTGATATTGGACCCAAGAAGAGGAAAGTACAGAGTCATAGAAAATGTTAACAGAAAAGAGTTACCTCTGTAGACACCTGCCTCTGTTTTACAGAATGTGGCAGTCAAGTACGTGGATTTGAGGGGGCTTAGTTTGAATTCTGGCTTTGTCTCTGAGGAGTTGATGTGGTTACCTGTCTGTGCCTCAGCTTCCTTGTCTGTGAAATGTGGATAATAATTATATTTCCTTCTTAGGTTGTAAAGATTTTGAATTAATATATACAGGGTTCCTGGCATATAGTAGGTGCTCACTAACTACTGGTTGAATGGATGATGTTCCAAGGATTACATCATAATAAATGGAAGAAACAGGATCTGAATTTGTTTGTCCAATTCTACCACATTGCCTTGATGTTCCAGAGTCAGCCTTTCTCACATGCCGCCTTCATTGTGTAGGCCTATTCTACTGGATCTGTTAGGTGTCACTCGGCATCACACCCACATTCAGATTGCATGGTCCTGGCATTCCACAGCCTGGCACACTCCAGATTGCCTGCCTCAAGTCTGTGTAGACTCTGTCTCCCATAACCCACCTCCCATTCTCCGCCTCTGACCTTCATGGAGGGCCCACCAAGCCACCTCCCACCTCTGTGACAGCCGCCCACCCCTCGTGATTTGGCTGATGTCACTGCCTTGGCGAAGGGATTCTGGACTACTACAGACCACTGCTGCCTTTTTGGGTCCCTCGCTGCACTGATGAGCTGCACCTCACTTATTTATGCTTGGCCAGATACATCTCAGAACGTTCCGTAATGACTTCACACATATTTATCTTAACCTGCAAAAATGAACCACAGTTCAATAAAGGTCCTTGGCAACCTTTATTATCTTCCTAGGCCCCTCTCAGTGCTAGATGCTCAGTAAATAGATAACTGAATACTTAAAGAATGGAATTAGAAGCAGGAATTCTGGTGACTGAGGTGGAGTTGCCAGTATTTCAGGTCCCCATCTCACACCTGGACTGTGTCACCAGCCTCTTTAACTGGTCTGTCCCTGATCTACACTTAGGCCATGCTGACACTGGCACAGTCCTCATCCAGCCTTTTCATGGAAAGCTGAAGCTTCAGCCTCTCTGCCAGCCTACAATTAGGAACTCTTCCGTGCAGCCTGAAGGGCTCTCTGCAAACCTGATCCTTGCCTGCCTCTTTCGCCTTATCTGCTGGCACTCCATTCTGCACACCCTGTCCTCCTTGCAGTTCCCAGAATGTTCTCTGTGCATTTCCTGGCTGACTTCTGCGGAAGCCCTGCTAGAGCCCACCTGGCAGGCTCAGGCTCTTCCTTGTCACTTCCTTTAAGACATCAGCAAGCAGAGTAAGTTGCTTCCTCCTCCAGGCTCCACCCACCACCCTTTGTTCCTCTGCTGTTTTTCTTGCAGGCCCTAGGATTGGTTTGTTTACCTGTCTGCCTTCCTGGGCAGACTGCAGCTCCTTGAGGGCAGGGCCATCTTTCTGCGCCTTCTCTCCCGTGCATATGCTTTGTGCACGCAGCCCAGGATGCCTGTTGATCATATAAACGCTACTTTTGTCAAGTAACAAAGGTCACTCCTCCTCACACTAGAAGGGAGCTTGCTCTTTTTATGTGCCTTGACAGATTTTTCCTTCAAACTGTATGAATTATATTGCAAATTGACAATGATGAGTCATATCTCAACAAGAGTGAAATTCAAAAACGCAAACCCTCCACTACTGGAAGAGGAAGCTAAGTCTGGCCCTTCACTGAATCCGCCCGGCGGGTCTCGAACACAGGGAGTGGGAGGGACCCTCTACCCGGTGGGCAGGTGATTTATTGGCTGGGAAGCTTCCGTGGTGATTTAGTTGTGAAGCAGCGCCCTAGGAAGTGCAGGCTAATGCCTGGGCCGGGAGGGAGCGGCCGCCCACTATCGCGGGCCGGAAGGGACCGCGAGGGTGGGGGGGAATTCGGGCCAGCCCCCAGTTTCGCCGCTGAGGCGGGGCGGGGGCGGAGGGCGTGCGTGCGGCCGAGGTGCTGCCAACCTTGTCCATCCGGAGTGTGGGCTGGAGACCCAGCAGCCAGGGAAGGGCCCCAGCCCCATGGGCGCCCTCTCCCAGTGCTCGCCGCGGTAGGGAGGAAGTTTCTGTGCTTTGCTGCCTTGATGTTCTCCTGTCCGGAAGGAGGACACAAATTCCAGCACCTGGGGCCCTGGAGGCTCTGGCCGCAGGGCGGGGGTCGGCCTGGGGGAGGGTCCGGGGCCGGAGCGAGGGGCCCGGGCCGGCGGGCGGCAGTGCGGCGGCGATCCAGGCCGCCTTTTGCAGCCGCCCGCGGCCGCGCTGGGCTCTGCGCGCCGCGCTCCTGCCTCCTCCCCCGTCGGCGGCGGCCCCAGCCCCGCGCCCCCCGCGCCCCGCGCCGCGCGGCCCCGCCGCGGTCACACGCTGAGCCGCCCGCGGCCGCCTCCGCCCTGCGCTTTGTGGAGCCAGAGCCCAGTGACAGGCGGCGGCCTCTCGCCGTCCCGGACCCCGGGAGCTTACCTGTGGCTGCTGGAGTCGGCCGCGCAGGACCAGGCTGGGAGCCCCGAGGTGGGGGCTCGGAGCTGGGAGCTGCCCCCACTGAGGCGGGGAGGGGTGCTTGGGAGGCTTGGGACAAAGTGAAAGTCTCTGGGCTGGGGTTGGGAACGAGTCTGAGACTGCTGCAAAAATGGGGGGGTGCGGCAAAGGGCGTCGGGAGGGCAGAAGGGGTGCTAGTTATTCTCTGGTGGTTTGGAGTGGCTTTTAGTGACGGATGGCGGGGCAGGCTGGCTGGGATTCAGGCTCCCGGTGGGCTTCTGCGGTACCGGTGCCTTCCGGTACCTCCTGGCGAATTCCTCGGATTAAGGAAAGCGGCCTTTTAACCCCCTAGGGTTCCCTTCGGGAGAAGAGTCACCAGGTTTGGTTCTATTCCACCTTTCTGCTCTACACTTCTGGGAAGCTTGGTTCTCAGGTGGGAGAGCAGTTGTGTTTTATTAAAACATGGAGCATATTTATTTTTACCTTCGTGCACCAGAATGTGCCTGGTGGCAGAGGGAACAGATTGCTTCTTAGTCTCAGACGCAGGACGTCCTTCTCTTACGGGCACTGTCCAGCTTGGTGGGTGGGATTGGGGTTCTGATGAAGGTAGTCTGGGCCTGCCCTGGCCAGTGGGTCTCAGCTGAGCTGCTGACATTCTCCCAGCCTCGTCAGTATTCCCTAGCCGAGAGTTTTTTGTGTGGTTGTTATTCTGCTGATTGTAGATGTCTTTGCTTTGCTGACATCCTGTTTTGTTTTTGGATTTTACATCCCATTTGTTTCTTTTTATCACAGAAACGCTTCGTTAAGGGACTCAGGCAGTACGGGAAGAACTTCTTCAGAATTAGAAAGGAGCTGCTTCCCAATAAGGAAACAGTGAGTACAATTGGACTTTATGTAACTTGATTTTTTCCTCTTTGCTCCTGCTGCTTCTCCACATTTGATCTTATGAAATGGTTTCCTTTAACCCTGCGCTGTGCTCAGTCTCGGGCTAGCCTCCAGAATTCTCTCGGTTTTACTCCCTGACTTTTAATTTGAGTTCATGATTTTAGATAGTAAAGTGACAGATTATGCTTATCCGCCTGAAGAACATAGACTTCTGTTGTCACTCTAAGAACAGAAAGGTCTTTGGGAACAGAGGGTTAGTTGTGGGGGAGGGATTGTTGGAGAGTTAACATCTAATTTTAAACACAGTGGCTGAAATAGGAAATAGCATTTATCACTAGTTTGAGTTTGGTAATTGGCACAAGTCATCAAACCAGAGGTTTGTAGCTTATTGTACTTTGAGTTCTGTGGGGACTTTTTCCGTTTTTAAATGTTGCTCTGTTTTGAAGAGTAGTTTTTAACTCTTTAATATTCTAGCCATAAAAGTTTGCACTTTCCACTGAACAGATACACAAGGAGATCTTATACGTTGTTTAATAGGAGCTTTACAAAAAATTACCTTGTATTTCACAAAGCTTGGGGAGGGGGCAGAGCTGACAAATACTCCCCATAAACGTGAGATAGAAGGATTTGCTGAGGAAAATCCAGAGTGAAATTATATAAAGATAATGCTGGGAAGGGGTTCATTCTCATTTCCCTATAGTTGCCTCCTTCCGGTAGTGTTGAGGCAGGTGGAGAGAGAGGCGTCCCTCTGGCTAGGCCAAGGGATAGGGCAGATGGCATGGAGTTGGACCAGCCACTCCACTGACTGAGGGCCACGGGAGGACTCAGTGACCAGAAATGCTCTTCAGGACTTTGGGAGGAGCCATCCAAGTTTAATCTGCCTAGACATTGAGCTGCTTTTTTAGGGAGTGGAGGTGGAGATGGATGGAAGAATATCTACTAGAAAAGCTGGGGCTGGAGGGAATTTGGGGTTGTTTTTTTTTTTTTTTTTTTTTTTTTTTTTTTTTTTTTTTTTTTTAGTTTTTTTTTTTTTTTTTTTTTTTGATTTCCTCTTGCTTAATTTTGTCTTTTTTAAAATGAGCTGTTTTTCTGGACACTTTTAGTATATAGTACTTCAAGAACAGTGATAACTCATGGGGAAGAAAGGTTTTGTGATTTCGAGTATAGTCTTGTATATATAAATGGATGATTTGTATCAGCCAATGACAAATTTATTATGCATCTCACGTGCTAGGATGGATCATATTGAGAATGGTAAAAAACAGAGAGAGGAAAACCTGTTTATAAACATTAAACCAAAATGTATTATGAAGTCAATCTATATAATCAACGTATTTCTTACCCTTCCCAGAACAGGTTATGTTGTTATTTAATATGGAATATTTAAATATGTATTTTAAGTTTTGGGGTGAATTCAATGATTTGAAGTTTGATATGATTAAAAATTAAAATGCCTTTGCCTAAGTGTAGTAGGTTTGGTTTGGTTCAGTAAAAAAGAGATCAGTGAGTGGATTTCCCCTGAATATGTGATTGTCCAGATTGTAGCCTCTCAACTTAAGTTGTCTTTGCTCTGCTAAAAGTTGCAAACCATGAAGAATTTAATACAGAAATCTCTTGACAGTTATTTCATATTTCTATTTTAAAAAGTAAACTTATAATTGCAAGATTAAGCATTACATCTAAAATCTACCATCTGGCATTTGGAAATGCCGGGTAATTTTATGTAGTGTTTTATCTTCGTAGTGAAAGCAGATTTGAGTAACCTTTAACCTAGGTAGGCTGTTTTACTTTGTTTTTCTTTTTGCTCTTGATTGTCCCTTCTTATTGATGACGTGTGATTCAGTAAATAAATAGCCTTTTTTCTCCTTTAGAGACGTTCTCAGTACACCAACCTTTTGAGCTAGTTCTCTGGTTATTTTTTCCAGCAGCCTCTTTCCTGAGACCTTTCCCCATCACTCCTCCACCTTCACAGTTTCCCACCTTCTCCTCCCTTCTGTGGCACCCAGCAGTCTTCCTATTTTCAAACTCTTCATCAGTCACCATCATCGGAACGAATGGGAGAGTTGTTTGCAGCAATGGGGAGGATTTATTGTTCCTGACATTTGCTAAATATTCATGGTGTCCTTGCTGTCTTTTGCATTGCAATGGAGGAATTTGGTAGTAGGTTAAATGTGTAAGTATTGTAATGAACTGGGAGAGGCACTCATCTTGTATTTTCTTATTCTCTCTAGTTATCAACATAGTCAAGCTAATCATTCACAGCCCACAGGGAGAGGAGGGCAGAGGTCATTTTTTACTTTTTACTGCAGAAGATAAGATTTGCATCTACCACTGTTCTTGGTTCAAAACTTGCTGGGTAGAATTCTTATGATCATGCTCCTTTTTACAGCAGAGCCCTCTAATCTAGATACTTTTCACATTCTCTTTCTCTCTCTTTTTTTTTTTAATGGGACAAGATCTAGCTCTGTTGCCCAGGCTGGTCTCAAACTCCTGGGCTCAGGTGATCCTCCCCACGCTACTATGCCTGAATTACATTTTCTTCTGTCTACAAGAATTTTTTTTTTTTTTTTGGAGACAGAGTCTTACTCTGTCACCAGGCGCCAGGCTGGAGTGCAATGGCACAATCTCGGCTCACTGCAACCTCCACCTCCCGGATTCAGGCAATTCTCCTGTCTCAGCCTCCTGAGTAACTGGGACTACAGGTGCACGCCACCACGCCCAGCTAATTTTTGTATTTTTAGTAGAGATGGGGTTTCACCATGTTGGTCAGGATGGTCT